TCTCAAGGCATCATTTATTCCCCATTCCACTGCTGTGTCTTGCTAGCAAAAAACCATGTGAACTGGCCCTAAGAGGCTACAGGAATCCAAAATGTATGAAATCCCTGGTGCAGTTTATTATGCAATCAAACCTAGCATTAATAACTACAAGAAAAAGCCCAAGACACAGCCTGAAGCCTGAAACACACCAGGGAATTATTTCCATTGTTTGTAAACCAGCATTGTATTAAATCATTTTTTCCCTCTAGGGACACTGTTGGTCCTCATAATCTGAAGCATGTTAACTGCTAGGCCATGGCTCCAGCAGAGCATCATTTAAAATATGTGCATTATAGTGTAAGATACAGTAGAAGTATAGAACATCACATCGTGAAATCTCTAAAAGGATATGACAATCAATGTGTTTTTGACTTTAGAAACACTTGATTTTGAGCCTTGGTCTTTCTTCAGAAGGGTCATGTGGAAATATGTTGCTGTGTGGTGCATTACTGTATTCTGAATGATTTCTAGGGCATTCTGGTTCAACTCTGGTATATTAAAGAAGGATGATGTCCACCAATGGTCAGAAGTTGTTCATGAAAGACAAATGAAAATGATGAAATCCACAAATATTAAGATATGATGTTGTTTTTGAGTACATCTAAACCATACCCTGCCCCAGCTGGTGAGGGGAAGACTGCATCTCTTCACACCTTCCCTTCCTGTTCTCTCTTTCCACTGCATTTGCTTCCTCCATCTGTCTAAATGCACATTAATTATACACATACACACATATATTCTCTACCCCAGCGACACACACCCACATAATGCATGTGCTTTCTCCACATTTATTAGGGGAAACACTGAAAATAGGTCCTAATGTCAGTAGTGCATTGATATTACAGTAATATGATTGTTGAGACCAGAATTACAAATAAAAGTTTGGACCTGTTCGCCATCATGAAAATTTTGAAACTGCACAAAAGCATGTACAATGAAGCATGTACATTGAAATACTCTACTCAAATTATTAAAGGAATATTCTTGCATTTAAATACAACATTAGCCCTATTAACAGTATCGTTGGCATGCTGTCACTTACCACAGAATATAATTACAACTTGTCAGTCAGTTTGTAAAAAGCAATTAAAGACACATTTACATAAAAATATATATACTTTTAAAATATGCAAGTATCACACTGTTTTTGAAAGTAAATATTACATGTGTTGGCATGAGACTGGATCCGGAGACTGGAGACCTTACCTGCACACATACAGTACACTCATGTTAAACAGAATGTACTGTATATATAGCAAATTTCAACTGCTTGATTGCTATATAATTGAAAAACGTAAATATATAGCCTAATATATAATGGTGTTGTCAAGAAATACTGGTATTTCCGGTACCTGCAGATATACGGCTGCTTTCAAACACGTATTTACATATGTATTTACTTGTTGGAGCATTGAGTATTTTAGCCAATCACTGCCGTTTTTGTTGAGCGTGTGAACACAATGACCAATCAGAGGCCATTTAAGTCAGAATCCTCTCAATACAGCAAAGTCTGTTGTGCATTCAGACTGAAATGTGTGAAATATATATATACTGTATGTGTGTGTGTGTGTGCGTGTGTCCCTGTTACACTAAATGTTGTCCCATTTTCCTGGGTAAATAAATATTACATAAAAAAGAGAACAAATATAATTCTATTTTGTATTTTATTAATATTATTTTGAATTTAGTTAATATTTTTAATACTAATTATACATTTCATAGTGTTTTATGCATTTTTACATTTATTTCAAAATGATAACTAAAGGCAGTGACAATTTGAACAATATTCTGGAAACAGTTTACAATAAGGTTTCATTCACAGACACGAAGCTGTATCTTTCATTTCATCACGCTGAATGCTCACTAAAAACTGAAGCAGTCATCACGTTTTCAGACCATTTCAAGTTTTATTTTGACGTGACACAAAATAGTGGTATCTAAGCGGGAGAGTTGTTTATTTACTTTATAATTAGTCAATAACGCCATCAGGTACATTACCTTCAGTACGTATCTGATGTAGATCCTAGAATGTCAGCTGAATAAGTGGCACACAGTGAAGTAGTAAAAGCTGCACATTTATACACACACAAACAAGAGGCGGGATTTATCAAATGAACCAATCACATCCAATCATAACCGATCATATCCAATTATAGCGCGATGGAGGCATTGCCTCCTCTTACGTGACTTTCTCTCATTCATCTCAATGAGCCTCCAGAAAAGTCACGGCATGCTTTAGGGTCTCTGTAGAAAGTCTATGGACTGAAGGGAGGCAAGCCTCTGCTGTAACTTTACCTGCAGGTGTCGCTGTTAGACAGTGTTACTTTATAAAAACGAATGACTTTTAGACTTTTAATATTTATTATTTTAATATAGTTTCGTTTATTGTCCTTTCGGAAAATCTTTTTGCATCTGTGTCAGCAGCGTCACGCTGGATCTGTTTCCTACGTTGTTGTGATTTGATCTGAACGGAAACAGCGTATCCGTGTGACGCAGCTG